TAAAAGTGGGCTAGATGGAACAACTATCAAGTAGATCTATGGTTGGCTACGGAATCATACTTAAAGAGTGCTTTTTAATGGCATCCTTTCAAACTGGGTACAGGTAACAAGTGGGGTACCACAGGGTTGAGTCCTGGGTCCAGTGCTCTTCAACATTTCTAACAGGTGGATAAATCAGTGAAGGAAATGTGTACCACATTTCCAGATGATGCAAAATTTGAAGGATAGCAAACACCTGGGAAGACAAGACACACAATATGAGGTGAGATTTTGGGGGGGCTGATAAGACAATGATACTTAACAGAGACAAATGCTGAGTTTTAAAACTAGGATGAAACCATCAAAAGTATAGTTACAAGATGGAAATTACTTGGCTCAACAATACTATCAGTGAGAAAGATCTCAGAATTATTGTAGATCACAAGCTGTATTTCAGTCAACAATATGACATGGCTGTAAACAAGGGAAATGCTGGTTTGGGCTCCACTGACAGAAATATTATGTGAGGTATTAGATCCCCTCTACTCGTTAGGCCTCACCTGGACACCAACAGAAAAGGTTCAGAGAAGCACAACAAAGATGATCAGGGGACTGAAAAAGTCCTATGAGGAGAGATGGAAAGAAAGGTTCATGTTTCACATCAAGAAGAAAAGATTCAGGGGATATATCACTGCATTCTTCAAGTGCTTGAAACTCTGTCACAAAGAGGATGACCAGGATGCCTTTTTGGTCATCTCAGAGTACAGGACACAGAATAATACGCTCAGGTTACATGAAACAAGATTCTGGGGAAAGAAACCTGACTGAGGTGATATTCATGATGTAGGTGAACAGTCATCTGCTTTAACTTGGAGTCCACTGTGAGCAAGGGTTAGACTTTGTGGTCTTATCAGCCTATTCTATTCATTGCCTGCAAATAGTAACATCTTCTTGAGCACATTAAGACATCTGAAGCCCAAGAAGCACAATAACCAAGTTATAGCTTCATAAAAGGAAATGGCTATTATCACCTCAATTCTAAATTTCCTTTTAAACAGGTGTTTCTGGCTCTCATTACTATCTAAATTATCTTACAGAAGGCATTCTACTTTGTCTTCACAGCTGATAACAAGATAACAGTACATCTGAATAATAGTATTTTTGTATAATAGCAGTTCAATCAGCAAGAATACTTCAAGTTCGAGTTTTAAACAGTCTAGAAAGACAAGGGACAGCTGCCCAAAATGTATAAAATGTAAGAAATTGGCTACACAAAGCAGCTAAAAAGAAATAAGGATACCCTCCCCCACCTAAGATTCAATAAAGCAATAAAAAGCATTTTCAGATTGTCAAATATACTTTTACATTTCTTCATTACTTTTGCAACATATTGTAAGTAGAAAAGTCTCCAACCATTCCAAAATTGTAAGTGGTTCAAAACACAGTAAGCTCATCCTTAGACTAGGTGGATTACCAAAAGCACCGAACTCTAGTTACTCCACTGTGTGCAGTTTCACCCTTAGTTAGCAAAGAATTATGATAATACACTATATGTACGAGTAACAACCAAAATGTACATAGGCATTCCTTATTGTGAACAAGCCCAAAGAAGCATAATTATCTGGAATTCCTTCCTAATAGAACTAAGTCACAATCAGTCCCTTTAAAAGGACTGCTAAAATTTTTAAACCAATCCCAGTGAAAAGTGAACTCTCATTGGCTTTAGTAAAACTTAACTCACATATTAAAAGTGTGTATTGAAAGTTTCCCTAATCTGGTGCCTTCATACATGTCTGACTACAATTCCTATCATTCTTTGCCACCATGGAACATGTTAGAACACATCTACAAGCTACCAGATTGCAAAGGATGGACTATAGGAATGCAGCCTTGTTAAGACAAGCCTTTCAGATACAGTCAGCTTTGACTATTCTCTCATTATTCATAATTGATAAGGCTGACTATATTTTGCTTTATGAAACTCTTTGACCATATCATCAGAAAGAGGTACAACATTAAAATAACCTAAGGAAAATACACACTTTCTGTCTAATTTTGTTCTAATCAATTACTATGAATTTGTCAAAATTAATATTATAGTTGCATTAACCATTTTAGTGCCATTCAGAATTATAATCTGTGTAAAAGAAAATACAACTTGTGTGGCTTATCTGAATAAGCTGAAAAATACTGCCACCATTTTCAAACAATATTTTATCTAAAGAACATTTTATTGTATTAAATATTTACTAATACTTTAATAGCACTTTTGTGTTTGATCCTGCATAACGAAGCTTGTAGACCTATTCAGAACAACCTTGATGGTTCTAAAAGTGCTTTTTTAAAACAGCACAGGGTCTTTACCCAAAACAATAGCTTGAGAATGGGAAGAAATTTTCTCAAGATTCAGATCATGCATTTTGCCAATAGTATAGTAATTGACTATAGTAAATGACTATAGTAATTTTGCCAATCCTGAAAACTTCTTCAATTAATCTCTGCCTAAATAGTTGCCAGATATACTGGAAAAATGTGTGTGGGATCCTAAGTATCTATGAGATCTGTCTACAGGAAATTTTTCAACCCCACTTCCAGAATTAGTCCATGTGTGTGTGTATTACATTATACATACTCAGATTCAGTCTTCAGCAAATCTTTTTGCTGAGGACTTAAGGACTTCAGTCAGAGGACTCAAACCTAATTCTCTTTCCCACTTCATAAGGTGGGATCATAGACTATGCCTCTCCTTTCTGCCTGCATACCTTTCAGCCATTGGCCAAGGGATCCTACCTCTACGTTGTTCTCTGCTAGCAATATTCCCTCTTGCACTCCAATCTCCAGCAGAGAGTGTGTGAGCATGTGTGCATACATATGTGTGACTGTGTGTGTGTGTGTGAGAGAGAGAGAGAGAGAGAGAAAGAGAGAGATCATCTGTATACTCTGTATACCTGCTTTACTGATATATTAGAGACATACATGTTGCCTTTTTTGAGGCAAGGTCATATATGTAATAGCCTTCTACAGTTTATGTTCATCAATTTTGGGGAATCATAAGATAAACACAAACCAATAACAAACAACACCACTGACATCCAACCTCTCTTCCCAAAATACCAAAACAAATAAGAAAAACCATCAGCAATTCCATTAAAAATACAACTCAAAACCATGAAAAGCTGTGCTTCCCTGAAGATATGTAGCAATTAGTGATGGAGTTTGATGTGTTTCAGTTGCTAATGCATTCCAGATACATGGGGCCTCTGTGAAAAAATCTGCATCCCTCATACCTGCCAATTTGACTGCTCTCAGAGGGCCCTTCATTGCCAATCTTGAAATGTGCACAGGCTGGTAAGGATAAAGGCATTCTTTCAAATAACTTAGAACCAAACCATGTAAGATTTTAAAGGGTAAAATCAGCACTTTAAATTGAGGTGGGAAATACAATGGCAGCCAGCACAGCTGACAGAAAAGAAGTGTCACAAGTTTTTAGACCACTGAACTGTACACAAGCTTATGTTTTCAACTTGCCTTTACAGGCAACCCTACATACATCTGGATGTTACTAGTGCATGGATAATTGAAGCAAGACCAGCATTTTCCAGACAGGGTCACAGCTGCCAAATGTTACTGTGCTTGTAAAAGCCCCTCCACCACCTGAGCTTCCCTAGTTAAAATGAGCCCAGAATACTCTCATACATTCTAAGTGGTACACATGATCTTACTGAGGGAAAATTCAATCCTGTTTAAGAACAGTTATTAGCCTCCATGCAAAGTGATCTATTTCCCTACTTGTAGTATAGTATCTTAATTAAGAATCAGTTTGTTTGCCCTCATATAACCCAATCTTGAATGATGATTCAAGAGATTTGACAGCCTCCATGGTTTCAGCAAATGGAAATAAGTAAAACTATGTAACATACACATGCTGAAGAATCTTCAGCCCAGATCTCCAATTTACCTAGCAGTTTTAGGCAATGTCAAAAAGCATGGGGGACAAAACAGGACCTTACATTACCCTATAGGTAGTGGCCATGGGGTAAAACAGAAGTCCCTCACAAGACAATCCACTGTGACCACTCCTCCAGAATTATGAACACATTGATCAGTAAATTCAAGAACAGTATTTATTTAATTTCTATATCATCCAATAAGGCAAAGTGCATCCTCTCCCTTCCCCTCTCTGCATCACTATTTAACAAAGACATAAAAGCAAATACCAAACTAATTTCTGATAAAAGGAAAAACATATTAAATTTGAGGGTGGGAATCATAAATATCACTGGTCATCCAATGCATCTCTAGTGATAGCAGATTGATCCTCAAGGTTGCTTTGGAATAAATACCATTGAATTGATTAATGTTCAACATCATAAGGCTATATTATAAAATCTTCAATAAATTTCTTTTCTATTAATGTTCTATAGTGTAATAAATAGATGTGAAAAAGGAAGGCGTTTCCAACCTTAAGGGATTTATGAATGGACTAAAGTACCAGCAATAATCTATTTACGCAATGAAATACAAAGGGAAAAGTAATTCAACTACGGGAGTAAGAACTGTTTTAATTGTTTTAAAGCAGTCAGTATTAACACTTCATAGTTCTTGGCTTCTATGCCAACAGCTCAGATGAATAGAGCAGTATACTTGTTCTCTCCCCCCATATTTTGAGTGAGATCAAATCCTAGTTTATATCAAATAGAATGAGGTATACTTTCAATATTCAACCTCAAATAGCTTCTAAAATACACATTGTTTCAAAACTGTATGCCTCATTTACTATAAACTGTGGAATACAAAACTATTCTGTTAAATGTAAAATAATCTCATCTTTTTATCAGCACATTTTAAATGTATGAAAGGCATTCTAGACATGGATAATTCCTACCATACTACCAAATTACACGAGGAAAACTCTTAAATACATTTTTCTCACAAACAGTAAGGGACTTATTTCTAACATTAAATATGTTTTATTTTGGGTTATGAGTATGGCAATTATAAGCTTACAGAGGCAAAACAACCTTTTGTAGACAATCTTCAGGTCTCTCCACTCCAGAAAGCTGCACATTTTCGGTTTACGGGCTAAGACTGTTTGAACAAGTTCTCTTGTGATTTTCTTCTTTTCTTTGTCAGACAACGGGACATACCACTTCTGAAGTCTCAGCTTCCCCTGACGGCTAAAAAGCAACATAAACTGCATCTGTTGAGTTAAATAAAACCGGGTTTGATGTCAGTCCTTCAGCCACATTATGTGGATTGTGTTTTGCTTGAAAATGCTTTCCAACATTAAAATTGCCAGCATTATTCACTAATTAAGCTTTAAAGCAAGCACTGGGCAAAGCATTTCAAAGATGCTGCAGACTATGTAAGGTATTTTAAAATAACAAGTATGTACAATATGGGAAATCAGAGGAGGAAATTTATCTAAAATAATAGACTACCATAATTGCTGAATGAACTTTAAAGCTACAACTGGAATATATACACTTAGCAGTTAATCATAATACGATATACACTGGCATCCTTCTACTGAAATCAAAGGTGACATATCAGCACAAGTTGCTAGACCATCATCATATACTGCTGCTTTACTGGTTAACACTATTACTGCTGCTTTCTTAGTTAACACTACACAACCAGAGAATTCCTCAGCTCTAAAAAGCTATCAACTCATATTAGACTTATTTCTACTCTAGATTATGCTATTCCAGGTCCACAAATTATCATAATATAGTTAACAAGGGAAGATATTAAGCCTTCCTCCTACACCTTTCATAGCCGCACACAAGAGGGAAATTAGATCAGATTAGCTTCCTCCACTGAAAGCAATATAAAGGGACAATCTGCACATGCCCAGAATTCCCTCTTCTGTTCAATGAAAGGTATGGGAATCTCTTTCATTTGGTGAGCTCAGAAAAAAGCAGGAAAACAGATAAAGTTTTTAAAAATTATACACAGATTGTAAGGTATACTAAAAGATGGGTCCTAGGTTTCAAAGGACTGAAAGCAAGTAAAGGAACTGATACATTTTGTGTGACACACAGAATAGCAGGTTCTCCTAACTAAGCATGTTGTGACACATTTTTCCCTAATAATATAAATAAATATGCACTCATTTCTTTACTGAGAAAAATAAAATGAACTACAGATTTCATTGTTCAGGAAAAAAGTTTCTAGACTTGGAGATCGCACACAAATATTTAAGATGTGCCATCCTTACAAGATGGCAGTAGCTCAATAGTTTTATTTCTATTTATGGTATACTTCCAAGGTTATCATACATACAGAATTGTGTCTTTCCCCAATCTGAAAATAGTTCTTCATGAGCAGATCTGGGTTACTAGTAAACACACTCCTGCTAGGCCTACCTATCACCCTCTGATGTCTTTGCCAATTACCTTAATGGTCCAAGACAGTTCCTCTTCTTTTTTAAATCTGAAGCTATGAGAAAGAAAAGTTAAAGATGGGCTTTTGCCCTTGATTCTGGCAGTCTCACAATAAGTTTGAGACACAGTGTTCAGCAGTTTCACACAAAACAACACACACAAAGAACAAGAATTCTGACCACTGTTCTTTGGCATCAGTTCCACTTTTTCAATAATTAAACAGGGAAGACCTATCCAGCATTTTAATTTTGATTAGACAGAAGACTTAAGATTATATTTTTTTTAAATTCCTTTATGCTCTGCAGTCTAGATGAATTTTGCTTCCACTTTTAAAATATTTTAAAACAAAAGAGGCTCCTCCAAACCAACAACCAGTACAGTGGTACCTCGACTCATGAACACCTTGGTTCATGACCAATTCGGGTCACGAACAAAAATTTCATGAAAATTTTGACGTGGGTCATGAACCCCGCATTGGGTGGTAACCAAAATCGCAGCCATCTCCCCACCCCTCCAAGTGGGGAGATATCCACGATCGCAGTTGTGTTCATGCAGGAAAGACGGGCGCAATCTCGGCCGTCTCCCTCCCACAACCAACACAATCTCCCTGCCCCAAGTGGGGAGATGGCTGTGATCGTGCTGGGGGCGCGGGGGAGATGGCCAATATTGCACCCATCTCTCCCACCCCCAGCGTGCCCCATTCGCGCCCGCCTCTCCCTCCCCCAGTGTGCCCGCTATCGCTCCCGTCCCTCCCCCCTCCCAGCATGCTGGGATGATGGACACATGCAGGGATGACAGGTGCGATCTCAGTCGTGCTGGGGGGGGGGGGGGAGATGGCCATGCTTGTGCTTGGGATGGGGGTGGGGAAGATGGTCACGATCTTTGTTGTTCTTTGTCACTTTGCTTCACATTTTTCTGATTAAAAAAAATTGGTTATAGAACGGATTAACCTTATTTACATTGAACCTTATGGGGAAATTTAACTTGGTTCACAACCAATTTGGGTCATGACCAGATTCCTGGAATGGATTAAGTTCATGAGCCAAGGTACCACTGTACCTGTAAAAGAGCAAGATTATGAACTAAAGTTATTGTTCTAAAAGTGAGTTACAATTAGGAGTCATCACACATCCTACTCACATATAAAACCACTATCAGGATGATACTGTATAGTGGGGGAGGAGTGTGTGAGATTACCACTTTGTCTGAAACATAATTAACTATGTAAACTGAGGCAAGAGTGCTTATTTCTGAAATCTGGATCTTTTACCTCCAAAATGGAATTAAAAATATCTAATTGTCATGTCCTGGAAGTATTTGCGGTTGAGAGCCTAGGATTTTGAAGTCTTGTTCCTGAAAATTGTTGCCTTTACTGTAACATTTCCTCCCTATAGTGACACAGTTATTTAAAAGGTATCATTTGCCCCTTGTTTTAAATACAGTTAAGGCACAATCTTATTCTAGTTTATACAGAAATAGGTCTTTTTTTTAAAATTTACAATAAATTATATAGACTTATTTCTTAGACCTGTTTTTGTCTAAACACGCATAGGATTATACTCTTAGAAAAGCAATCTTTACAATCCAGTCAGAGAAGCTTAGGCAAATTAACAGTAATTTATTTCCATACAAGCTATACATTTCTCAAGTTGAACATGTGGATGTTCGTCCTCCCAATTATCACATGGTAAAGGGGCTACAAAAGAAGTAAGCAAAAAAACCAGAACAGATTTACCAATTCTCTTTTTAATATTGTTTAAAATTCAGAACAAGATATAGTTATGGTTATTTCTGATTTCACTATTCCTAGAGCCTTAGATAAGAAATAATTCAGTTAATGAGCTAAACTCCAACAACAGCAGATGGGCAAAGGGGACTTTGGACAACTGTACGGATTATGGTTATTACATTATATCCACCTTTCTTCCCTTTCGAAGGAGGCTAAGGTGGCTTACAAATTTCTCATTTTCATTTTATCCTAACAACATTTTGAGGAAGATTAGGCTGGGATTTTGTAACTGGCCCAATGTCACATAGTGTGTTTCACGGCTCATTAGGGATAGAATCTGGATCTCCCAGGTCCCTGTCTTAATGCCTATGCCTTACTGGCATTCAGTAAGCTAGAAAGAAACATATATATTAGAATGTATTTGCAGCGATTAACTTCCTTGGTGAAAAGCTGGAAAAACATACTTCCTTTTGAGCAGTCAAGTTCCTCTTTTAGAAAACCAAAGTATTCATACTCAGAACACCTTCTCTCTCAGCATATACATGCAAGGTAACAGCATTTAACTCCAGATTCGGAATGTCACCATCACCAGTCTTAAACTCTCGCACACTTGTTATTTACAACTAAACATTTGAAAGGGATGGCAGAGAGTGTAGTTCATTCTGGCTGAGAATTAAACTAAAAAAAACAAAAAAGCAGAGTAGTTAATGTGCCTGTGACGGCAGCTAATGTATGAGGCAGCAACTCTGTCCCAAGAGGAACTGCACACAGCTCCTGCTTAATTCAGCTCAAAAGAAAGAGAAGCAGAACCCACCAGAAAATGCTCCAAGCTAAAATAAAAGCGAGGGGAGGGGGATTAAGAAGAAAACAAAAGGGTTGAGGAAAGCTGCCGGAGCACCTATTATCTGCCCACCTGGGCACCCGTTCCTACCAGGACGACCCCATTAGATGGCACAATAGCCCCCTGTGACAGACACACACCGCACAAGAGGTCATGTGGTTGCCAGGAGCGGGCAAGCAACCCAGAACAGGGCCTAACTCTCCGGGGCTGGGGCTGTTTTGTTGTTCTACAGGCACGCTTCGACACAGCCATCTCTCAAACCTTGAGGAAATACTCTGAGCAGAAAGCGGCTGTTGCTACGGCGTCTCTCAAGTGTCCACGCACTATCTGATCTTCTGGGGGTGCGTGTGTACGCACAACACGAGACGGGCAGAGCGAGCGGCAGAAGAGCTCCCTGGGATCCTCCAAGCCGCCGCCGCCGCCACTACTACCAGCACGTCCCCCGCCAGGACACAGGCAGGAACGGCTCGGCGAGGAGGCGCCTCCGACCGTTATGCGCGCGCGCTCGCAGCCCAGCCCAGCCCAGCCCAGCCCGCCGCATCACTTACCGTTACCCAGAAGCTTCGGAGGCGCGCGGCAGCAGAGGACTCTCCTGAACGTTCGCGCCCGCCGAGGGTCCGCAGCTGCCGCGCTCGTCCCCTTTCGACCGGAGCAACTGAGGGGGAAGGGAGGGCTGCTGCCGGCAAGTAGCCCGAGCAAACTGAGGCGGGGAGGCGGAGCCGAAGGAAGGAGGGCGGCCCCACTTCGCCTCAGCCACCAAACTTCATTCGCCCCTCCTAGCCGGCCAGCACACCCCGAGGAGGAGGAGGAGGAGGCAGGGAGAGTTTCCCGTGCAGCCAATCCCTTGTGCGGGAGAGGCGGGAGGGGTAGTGACCGGCGAAGGCGACTACCAACGGGACGCAAAGGGCAGGCAGGGCAGAGACGGGCCAATAAGAAAGCGGAGAAAACGTAACGTTTTCCGCTTAGCCAACCAGAAGCACGAAAGCAGAAAAGAGCAGCCAATCAGGCCACCACGTGGTCCCCTTCCAGCTCAAGCAGGCACAAGCCACTATCTGTGATAGCCGGAAAGAAGCGCGAAGAGCACACATGCGCGGCGCGGGCGGGGCGAGAGGCGGGCCGCTGGTCCTCACGCCCTCGGTTGTCATCGCTGAGGCGAAATCTGTGCGGTGGTTCCCGCGCGCACACCCGTCTCCTCTGCAGCTGGATTGCGGAGGCATTGTGATGAAGCTTCCTAGAAAACTAGCAACGAATTCGTAATTTAGCGAGAAGGTCGCCAGGAGACCGGCACGGCTGTGTGCCTGTGTGTGGGTTCTGCGAGTCCAGCTGTGATCAAATCATCGCCACAACAATGACCTGGAGAATACGCGAGGCTAATGATGGAAGATGCGCAGGCAGGAACTCCCAGTGTAGGCAGCAGGTCTTCCTGGTCTCTGTCCCAAGAGACCCTGACGGGAACGACCGATTAGTGCTCCACTTCTGAGGGCTGGTTCCCCGTCCCCACTCGTGAGGTTCTTTGACTTGCCTGACCTGCCCCTATCAAGCGCACCTGGCGGCCGGGACTGGCTTGTCTTTTCCTCAAAGAACGTGTTACGTGGTTTGAAGACACATGCCAAAGCAGCTTGGGCACCCTGAAGATGATATCAAAGCATCCCCAGATCAGAATAAGTGCTTTTGAAGTCGTTTCATTGTACACAAACACAAGTTGCCTTTTCTCCATGTGTGGCTCCGTTTTCTTTCTGTACAACTCCAAAAATCCAATATGAGTTGGCTTCTAAGCAGCCCCACTAGCCCTCTGAAAGCAATAGAGCAGGCCATGTGCTTGCAGGAGGGAATACATTCGTGGCAGTAAACCTGTGTGTTCATGGTACAGCATGAGTGTCTGAAGCAGCTTTTACACTGGTTGCAAAATGGCGCTGATTGATTGTGTGTGCAATATAAGTTGTGTACATGTTGCTCGGATGCTATTGCGAAGGGTGCCGCAGAGACCCAGTTTAGAAACAAGTCTGGTACTCCGGATTCGTTCCTCTCAGCTGTGCCTCTCTTGCTGCAGCTCTGAAGAAATGGATCTGTGTCTTCCTAATGCTCCGCACTGTAATTTCCACTTTATACATACCTATGACTACTTCAGTTATTAATATTTACTTCTATTCACTACACAAGAGCTTAAGGCAGTACACAACATATTAAAGTACATTCTCTGGATGCAATTAAAATCAACAATACAATTAAACTAAGAACATAGTATGACAATGCAACATTAGTCTCTTCCTCTTTTCCTGCCTTCACTACACAACAGTAGAATCTTTTGCATTGTTAGTAAAAGCAAGGAAATTGTTACCTTGTCTACCATCTACAAGAAACCTCAAGGAATGAGGAAAGACATATTTTCTCTGGCTTCAGGGAATTGCACTATTCTTAGTAGTATAGCCCAATCCCATGTGGATAGCAGAGTTAGAATTAAACTGCCACTGGAATGAATGCATGTAAGAAGCCAGTGGCAGAATGTAAAATTATGACTAAGGGAGCCCCCAGTTCAAATTGCCACTCAGCCATCAAATTCACTGGGTGACTATGGACCAGTCGCTCAGCCTAAATTACCTACAGAATAAAATGGGAGTGGGAAGAGGACAACCATATAGACTGCCTTGAGCTCCTTTGGAGAAGAGCAGTCTACAAAAGATAAAGGAAGTGCAATAAATATTGCATAAGAAGTGCAGTACAGGACATGTTGAAATGGTGTCTGATTTAAGTAGTATTTCAAGGGCCTTTGGCAGCTCAGCAATGAGTGACAGGAGTGTAATATAATTCTGAGGGCAGAACAATTTGCTGGGAAGAGGCCTTGCTGCAGCTAATATATATCCTCCATTTTTATGTGATGTGGTACAATATATGTTGAAATCTGCTCTGAGCTGGAGAGATGAAAACATATAAATCTAAACAGTAAATAACGAGCATTTGGAAAAGGGCACTGGATAATACAGGACGGTATTTCTACTATCAGAGTGGTATGAGAAGTTAGTCCAAGAATAACAAGGGGACATTGACCCAGTTTGGTTCTCATCAGAATTAGAGGAATTAGCTCCTCTGCAATAATTCAAAAGTGAAAGTTAAGTATGAATGAAGATTTCTTTTGAAGTTATTTTCAAAATACAGTTTCACTAATCCACTCATCTTCATCCCCCTATATTTATAGACTTTAACAAGATAATTTTAGAAGATAACAATCAGAATTCCTAATACCTTTTAGCTTCCTATTATTATCTCATGTATTAGTGCATTCCCCCAGGACTTACTTAATATGTTGTAGATAAATTTTACAATAGATGTCTTATGATTACATTTTAATTGTTCACTAGAAATGTGTCTGAAAACAGTTGAGTAAAAAGCTTTTCTGTCACAAAAAGCAAGTAGATACTTCCCCATCCCCCCAAAAAGGAAAATGGAAATAGGAAAATGGAAATATATAACCATAGATGAAGACACTGAATTGCATAATATTTAGATACATTAATATATAGAAATAGATGAAAATTTAGAAATAATTACTGTGATTCACATGGAAGCACCCCCTCTGGGATGCACAACTTAATGTCATGATGGGGTGGAGGAGCGTCAGAGAAGCTGGGAGTAATGCCTGCAGGAGGTCAGGCTGTCTCACCAGGCTGGTCTGCTAGGAGGGTCATGCAAGGCAGAACGGTCAAAGCAGAGACATCATTCTATGATGCATCCTCCCTCTTCATGAGGAATAGTCACTCAGCAGAAGAGAATGAATATTTCTCATGATGATGGGGATGGAGAAATTCCTGAAGGGCAGCTACTGGACAGCTGAAGGAGACCCTGGTGGAGGATCTTTCACAGACAACAACCATGATGCTAAAGCTGGTACTGCACAGAAGAAGGCAATGGTAAACCACCTCTGGATCTCCTTACCTTGAAAACCCCAGGTGGAACAGTTCAAAATGAAACAGGTGATAGTGGCAGAGAACCCCAGGTCAGAAGCCACTCAACAAGCTACTGGGAAACTGCAATGGGCAAGCACAAATAGGGTTGTCACTAACGGTGCAACTAGGCTAAAGCTAAAATGAAGTCTAGTGGCTGATATGCACAGAGGTGAAAGGAAAATCAGATGCTGTACAACTTACACGAGTAGAACATGGAATATGAAAAGTATGGACCAAGGCAAACTGGAAACCATGAAGCAGGAAACTGAATGGTTAATCATTGCAGTACTCAGTGTTTTGATACTAGAGAAACGCAAAGTGGTTTACTCTGGAAATGACAAACTCAGAAGAAATGGAGTAGCTCTAACATGGAGGCAAGATGTAGCACCAGCAGTAAGGAACTATATTGCAAAATCCAACGAAATAATACCGATCAGAATTTGTGGATACCCTATCAACATAACCATCATTCAAATATATGTGTCAACAACAGATGCTGAAGAGAAAGAAATTAAAAACATTTATTCAGGTGTTCAAGAAAAAATTAATAACATGCCAGAGCAAGACGTGCAATTAATTCTAAGTGACTAGAACACAAAAAGATGTGTTGTCATGAATCATTTTTGAGCTCCTTTCAAATAAATTTCAACCAACCATATAACCACTCATTTGCTTTCTTGTAAAGTAGTAAAACTTGCCCACATTTCCCACATTTACACTTGGTGAGGTGTAAATTGATTCTATTTATGTGATTCTAAAGGCACAATCTGCTGCATGTTTTGATAGAGAAAAGATCTGCAATTCCCAGCATGCCCCAGCCATTATGCCCCAGCAAAACTTTTCTTTATTTAAACATGCACAGGATCGTTCCTTAAGACAATGCTAAGTTAGCTAAGGGCTCCTATAAAAACTTCCTTTGGAACAAGAAGAATGGAATCACTGATTTTTGATGGGTAGGTACAAAGTCTGTTCACTGATAGATACCCTTAGGTTGACAAAGTGCAGTGACTGGAAATCTGCCACACTATCTCTTACGTTAAGTACTGTCAAATGATGAGAAACTAGTTACATCATGGACATAACTTAGCATTTATTTATGTGTTTATTTATTGTATCCACTTGAATAATTAAGGTCAATATATTAATGTTTTCATTCACTAATTTATCTGATACATACAGAGGGGACATAAATAAAATATTTTAAACTGCCAGTTAATTCTATATTCTAACTTCTGAAAATTAATTCTTACTAAAAACTGCACCTCTGACTCTTTGAAAGGTCAACTGGAGTCTGCAGATGAGACAAGAAATATGCGGTAAGTAAACCAAAAGATCTAATTCTCTTGTCTTTCACTTTGTCATAGCTTGTACGAACAATACGAAATGTGTACTTTGACATGTTAAGGATGAGAAAAGGGAAGTAGAAAGTCTGCTTTGTGAAAGTAAACATGATGTGATGCAAGCAGGCTTGGCAGAGAAAAGAAATGCTTACATAAAACAAGGTTGAAATTACTTGTTTTGCAAGCCTTGCCTTGTTTTAATACATACTAAAAATGCAATTGCATGCATTAGGTTGACACAGGGGAACGTTTCTTGTCTAAAAAGTAAGAGTAGCAATTAATAGCTAGGCAACTGGCTCTTTTTCTGCCATTCCCATGCCAACTTACGCAGCTCTAATAACACTTTGTTGCTTTTGCTGTTGTTAGTTTTCAAAGTAGCATTTTATGCCAAGTCGCTCTGTTTGACTTGTATTCTATCCACCAAGTTCTCCTGTTTGTTTTTTCCAGCCAGTTGGTAGTACCTGCCCACTGAACAGTCTCAGTCGCATTGGGCTGTATTGTGGTCTTCTTTCAGGGATGGACACACTGGT